TTTCACTCCCAAAAATGAACCACAGGATAGAAGCTGACAAAACTGGGTACTAGTATTGAGATCACTTGAGAGAGAAAGAGAGCTGGAAAGCAGATGAGAATGATATAGAGATAGAGAGAAGAAACCGAGTGATGGGGATGGAGAGAAAATGAAATGCTCAATGTGGCATTTATAGATAGGCACCGGAAAGTGACAATCACATTCCTCTTAATAAAATATCAAAGGTTGGTGCTGATTGAGTCGGACAAGAAACCGTGTCGTGCAGCTGTGCTTTTGCAAGCATGAAAAGAAGAAGAAGAAATGAAGAAGGTGCGTGAGTTTTGGACTTTGAACAGTTCTTCGTGCATGGGGGTTTTCATAAGAAAAGGTCTGCCCGGTTGTGCTCTGGCTTTCAAAGATGTCAACTGGGCGATGGAGAGGATTGTAGAGACCTCGTCACCTTCTCAGCTGTACTTTTATGCATAATTAGTGATTACGGATATGTACGTTGGTCAATCATTTTGGCTTGAGTTCTTACCTAATCTATTGGAACTCACCCCAGACCGCGTAGTGATTATTAAAATCTCTTTACTATAATATTGCTATGCACAGACACGCGTTTACAAAGGATAATTGCTGTTACTTTTTCAGTGAAAATTTTACTTTTGCACCACAAGAAGAATTACCAAAAAAATCTAAATTTATCGTAATTGTGTTAATTCAGTCATATTGTTTTTTGCTAATTGAGTCCAAACTCTTTGCATTTGTGCCAATTCAATCCATCCAGTCAATTTTGGCCGGAAATTACAACAATCATCTTATGTGACGCGGCTAGCGCCGATATAGAAATTTTTAAATAATATTTTAATAATTTTTCGAATTTTTTCTTTTTTCTTATCTTTCTCTTTCTTTTTTTTCTTCCCTTCTTCCTCTAGTTGGCGAGCTCAACCTCACCATCGCTAGGCCCGACCTCGCCAGTACCTCCCCCAATTTGGCGAGTTCAAGCCTTGCCCAACCATGGTGAGGCTTGCCCGATGGGTGGATCTAAAAGGGTATCAGCGACCACACTTTCCTTCAGAATCAGAAGATATCAAGAATCTCCACGATGAAGTTGCTGCAGAGAGGGCAGTTGCCCCTGCTCACCCAAAGCTTTCTTGAACACAGCCTGCAAAACGTGTGCCCACATGGTATGAACGCCGCTCCTTTGTGCCTCACCATTCACATGCAGCAATAACTCTGCTCACCGCGGCGACTGCCCCCTTCCTCCACGTCCTTGAGGGCAAGCCTCATCATAGCCGGGTGAGGCCGATCTAGCCTAGCGACAGCTTGCCGCTCTTCTCTGTTCAGAAGCAAAGAAGGAAGTGACCTAATCAATGGAATTCCACGGCTAGTCATGAGATCGGCAAATGACTAAGCTTGAGAAGCTTTTGGCCTAGTATGCCCGTAAAATTCACTAGGATAAGCGGTATTATTGAACTAGACGTACAAAGAACAAGCAAACCCTTTTGGGTTGTGTCCAAAAATATGGAAAGGGATGTTTTTATGTCTCGCAAGCCAGTTATTCTACCCTCGTGCTATAGCCATTTCAGTTCAAGCAAAATCGGGTAAAGAAGAGAAAGGCTTAAAGTCCTTCCCAGTGGATAGAGCTAGAGGAAGTCAACCCCGAATCACCAGCTAAGGCTCCTAAATGACCACTAAGTGATAAGTATTTTTTATAGAGAAATCTCTTACGAACAACAGAACAAGATCCATTTTGCATCATACCTAAGGGATTCCTTGGTTTGGGCCAAAGAAGCAATGTTACTCGATAATTATCAACTAACTATAATCTTTTTCTGTTCGACCCACTCATCGAGCGGGGATGGAAGTTGGCCTAAGTGATCCGACGATGTCAAGTGGAAGGGCTGTCACTTAGCGCGACTCCTTGGCCCACTTCAGCTGCTTTCGATTTCGAGCTTTCAAGTAGCGTTTGAAATGGCCGGATTCGATATATCATTTCCTATTTCTTTCCCTAAGATATTTGTTCCGAAACAGCTGGAGAAGCATGACTTATCCTTCTGGTTCATGAGCTGGGTCTTTGATCGATCGCCTCACTGCATTTCTACCGAATGGATTTGTTGCACACCTCAGTTGCTAAAGATAAAAATAGATCGGGGATAATCGAGAGGAAACTAAGCGAAGCCGATGAGTGATATGAACAAAGGGGCTCCAAAAGCAATTGGAGGGACCATTGAGTCTTCGGACTTCAGTTCCTTGCCTTTCTTTTAGGTAGTGTTCGAAACAAACGCGGAAAAACAAATACGGAACACAAGGATTTACGTGGTTCGATCACAAGGTGATCTACGACCATGGGCGAGGCAAAACAAGATTCCACTATAATCAAAGAGAGTACAGTTTTCAGAAGTCGACAAAACGACTTAACAAAACCTCACGGCTCACAAAACTCTGCCAAAACGAAAATCTCTCTTAATCAATGGAAAAACCTAGCCGCAATATAAATAGGGCTCCCCAAAAATTTCCTCGGGGGCTACGCCCCTGAAACATTTGTTCGCTTGCTCTAGCTTGGGCGGACCGCCATAGAGATTTGTTCGCTTGCTTTGGGTTGGGCCTATCGGCCCAACCCGACGCATCACGAACTAAATCTCAATTTTTCTCCACTTTTGGGTCGTACAAAAAATATGTCGGGTCAGGTGATGAACCGGACCAAGTACATAAAATTCAAGACATATTTTACGGGTAGCTTAGACCTTCAAGCAAGATCCTTAGTCCACTGGAGTCAAGTGAGGATACAAAACCCTTCAAATGTCACTTGGGTACAGGAAATCATGTTGTCGAGATCTATCTATTTCGAAATATCCTTGAAATTCCTCCATTGGATATTCGATTTAACTCCAAAAAGAAAAAAAAAAAAAAAAAGTCGAGCTTCGCCAAGGGTGGGTGAGGCTTGCCCTCAACAATGGCTGGCGAGGTTGAGCTTGCCAGCCCCCGTCTTTGGCTGGCGACCAACTAGAGGAAGAAGGGAAAAAAAAAAAGAAAGAAAAGAAAAAAAAACGAAAAAAATAAAATAAATTCGAAAAATTATTAAAATTTTATTGAAAAATGTCCGCGTCAGCATTAGTCGCGTCACATAGGATAGTTTGCATCTATGTTAGTGATTTCCAGCCAAAATTGATCAATGGACTGAATTGGCACAAATGCAAAAGGTTTAAGATTTAATTGACAAAAAAAAATTTGAACAGAATTAACATAATTGTAATAGGTTGATGACTTTTTTGGTTATTTTCCCCACCTATTACAATGCTAGTATTTTGCGATCTGGTTATTTATTTATATGGATTATAGAAATTTGAATGAAATCTATCAGTTTGCATACGATTTAAAACATATCATTTTTTTAATGTTTTCCCAAGATGTCCTCGAATTTAAGAGCCATTTGAAAGAATATCGATTTTCTCTATAAGGCGAGAGAAATCTCGAAATACGATAGGATTATTTTCACTGTTAATTAGAGCGAAAAAATATTACTCTAAAGCAGTTTCAATAAAAAACGACCCTCGTCAATTTTACTGAAACCTCCGTTAATTAATTAAGTAATCTAACATAATGTGGGCTAATTGAGTTTCGAGATGGCATGGCACAATTCTTGAATGACTACAATGCCTCATCTCCACTAATTATGTGGTTAAGTGAAGGTTGGTGGTGAAAGAAACAAATTATTCTTCAATGGCTATAGTGGCCTGACTTGTAGAAGATATTCATCGGCCTTATGCCTTCCAATGCATCCAAATGGATCGTTCAACACACATGCTACAGCTTGAGAAAGCTCATTTCGAAACAGACATCTTACCAATGAAACTTATCGATAATTTATCAACACTTTCGTGGAGCGGTCAATGTTGCAGTAAGTTACTAACTTTTATTTGCATAACTTACCGGCTCGAATTTACTATGGGTGTGCTTGTTTTTATAAGTTTGATCTTCATGAAATGATCTTTCAGAATTTCATTCGTTTGGTTTGCTGAAAGTGGTAATCAACGGAAAAAACTTTACGGTCGAGGAAAATAATTGTAATTAAAAAAAACGATTACCCGGTGCTAAAGAAAAGGAAATTGTTTTCTTAAGATCATTTTACACGCACACACTCGCACAGAACGGAGAACCATTCTCACGTGAAGTTTTATGAGCACCAAGAAATCAAGTTTGTTAGTTATTTGAATTTTCCATTCTTTCGGCATCTTTTTTTAGGTTGCTTTATTTTGATAATAAAAAAAATTCAAAAGTTATACTTCGTATATTAGTAATGTCATAGATAAAGATTTTGATACCACCTCAGTATCTTACATTAGGAACAAAATATAAATAAAATGGAGAGAATAATTTTTTAAAGTAAGATCTAATCATCAAAAAAGAAATTCGTCTCACTTTCAAATGCACCACCAAGCAGCTGAAAACTAGTCATTTTTATCGAATTGGTTTTCGCAGAAAATATTTTTTTTCACTAAAAAGATTTCCACGAGACAAACACACCCTAACTCTTATATGAAATTACCAACCTAAATTAGAATGATGTAGCAAATTTTGTCAAAGTAAATTACCGAGTTATCAACTCTCATTTGAGTTACTTATCATCGTTTAATTTTTTTTTAGTTATCAATTTATCTGTTAAGTTACTAACTTTGATACGCATCGGTTAGCAATCCCTTATATTTACTAACTCTTTTTAGAGATTATCAATCTAAATTCAAGTGAATCGCGGACTTTTTTCTCATTAAATAATCACATAGTATTGGATTACCAACATTCATTTAAGTTGCTTATTGATATATAATTTGTTCCATAATCTACCAACAAGTTATTGGAAATCAGGTGATTGGTAACTTTTTTTATCAGTAGTTTTTGACATGTACCGACTCTTTTAGAATCTACCGGCGCGAAAAATAAATCAAAATAAAGGAATGATTGGAACAGTAGAATTGGCACATGTATAGATAAATACACACTTTTTTTTTGTCAAAATAAATACACACTTGAAGTTCAGGAAAAAAAAAAACCAAATACACACTTGAAATAAAACCGTATACATGTTCTAATCAACCTTTGGAGCGTCTGCTAGTTCACAACTCTGCAACTCCTCCTAATCTCGCCCTGGCTCCCGGTGAGAATCTCGATCGATCCCATCTTCACCATTGCCGCTGCGAACTTGTTAGCCCATGCTCCACCGTTATGCGCGTTCTTCCTCACGATATTAGCCGTCGAAGAGCTTTCGAAAAGCGTCTGATCGGAAGTCAATAGGCCTCGGTGGTTCTTCAAATTAGTGTAGTACTTGTTGTCGATCCTGTTGGGTGTGACAATGTCCAAGGGGACTGTCGGATCGCTTGCGCCTCCATTGTTTGGACACCTTGCTTTCAGTCCATGGGCGAACTTGGGGTCCATGGAAGGGTCTTGCTTGTGCGTGTTATTGAAGGAGTACAAGCGGTTCGAGAAGGAGGAACAATGCGAGACTCCAATCGAATGCGCACCGGATAGTGTCACCATTTCGTCCAGAGAGAGGCCTTTTCTTGCGAAATTGGCTTCTAATTGTTGCGCATTGAAGAAGAAAGGAGGAAGATTCTGGGAGGGCTCGTCTCTGAGTGAGACTAGCCCATCACGGCGACCGGCCGGGACTGCATAGTTGATGCTGCCAAGCTTGTAGGTGCTGTCACGGGCCGCGAACGCGAGAATATCGGCACAAGAGACCGTCTGGGGGCATAAATACTCTAGCTCGGCCTTCGCCTCATCAACGACTTCAAAACCTTGTAAGCTCGGGTTGTTCGCAGGATGTTCCTTCTCTGATGGGTTGCCTGGGGTCGAATCCAGCAAGATCGAAGCATCACAACCCTATTAATGGTTCAAAAAATACAAAAATCATCAGGATAGCTGAAATGCATCTGCATGAGGAACGCAGACTATTATGTTACTATTACGTTGGAGTCCGCCTCATGGACCTGTGATAGAAACGTGAAACGTACTCTATACTCACATCTAGCTAATATGCTTTGTAATAACAAAATATCAAAGGAACGCTTTTTTGCTAGGAAAATTTTTTCGTCACTACTAATTGAAATCAAGATTGTTACTGCTACTTCTGAAATGAGGTAAGAAGTGTTTGCATACCCGAACAAAGCAATCATGGAAGTGCATTCTAATAAGGCCAGCGCCAATGCCGGGATTTCTGGCTACCGCCTTGTCCACGGCTTTTCGAACGATGGACTCTGCAGACGGGCAAGTGTAGCGGTAGAATCCCACTTGGAGAGTTGCCGAACCTGAGTTCAGCATGGGGATGAGCAAGAAAATGACACGGAAGCTGAAAGAGGTTTCCATAGTTTTCATTTCAAAAGATGAACCGGGATAGAAGCCAGCAAAAGGGTATTATATACCGGCAAACCGGGGAGAATATCGTATGCAAAATCGCTTGAGAGCGAGAGTTTGAAAGAAGATGATGATAATGATATGAAGGTGGAGAGAAACCAAGTGGGTGATGGAGAGAAGATGAAATGCGAAACGGGTTTTTATAGATCGGCATTGGAGGTGATTACAATCACATTAAGATAATATTGAGGTCGGTTTTGTTTGATTCGTAAAAGAAAGCGTGTCTTGCAGCTGTGCTTTTGCAGGCACTTATGAGAAGAAGAAGAAGAAGAAAACGAAGGAAGCTTCAACGTGCAGGTGGACGAGTGTGGACTTTTTGAACAGTTCTTCGTGAGCTGGTCTTCAGGGGAAGAAAAAACAAAGATCTCTCCTTATAGTATTGCAAGGGGAAGCATTTGGCTGTGATTTTCACGGGAAAATTTTTAAAACAATACGTGGTCAATTCAGTTTTAAATTTTTTAATTTTGTTAATTCAATTTAAATATTTTGATGATTGGTTAGTTTGGTCCCAAGCCTTTTGTCGGTTTGCCAATGTAGTCTTCTTAATCAATTTTGAGTGGAAATCGCTGACGTGGCGGTCGTGCCATATAGGATAGCCGACGTTCACGTAAGCGATTTTTTATCAAAATCGGCCGAAAGGACTACATTGGCAAATTGTCAAAAAGTTAAGGACTAAATTGACAAAATTGAAAAGTTCAGAATTGAATTGACCGCCTTTCAATAGGTTTAGGATTTTTTGAACAATTTTAACTTATTTTCATTAGGCGAAAAAGCAATAGGATGTGGAGCGTGTGAATCTCGCGTGCACGATTTTTACAAATCATAAAGGTATTTTCGTCTTAAAATTACAAATAATGCATGGACTCGAAAACAAAAAATAGAAAACTAGAAGTGCAAACCAAGGGGGGTACACAAGCGAGGGTCCGGCATCCTCGTCGGGCTCAGGCGAACCAGCAATAGCCGCCGCCGCGAATTACACTTATACAGAGGGAGCTCGTCGGGCAATACGCTTTCAACTGCGTCCGTGCGCAAATGAAGAGGTTGAGGTGCTCTCGTTCTCTTATTAGGACAAGAAAAACAATGGAAAACAATGTCAAATTGAAGATATTTAACCAGCCCTACAAAATAAGAGGGTTAATTCTAAAAAAAGCACCAACTTTAGGTCGATTGACAATTCTGGTCCGAACTTTTTTTTGTCCGGTAAAAAAGTATCAACTTTAGGTCGAGGGACAATTCTGACCCGAACTTCTTTTTGTCCCGTAAAAAAGCACAAACTTTAGGTCAAGTGACAATTCTGGCCCCAACTTTTTTTTGTCTCGTAAAAAAGCACCAATTATCACTTAAATCCCAAATCTTGCCTCCATTGACTTAGAAACATTGATTATTTAACTTGACTATTCCACCTTAGCAATAAATTCACATAGCTTGCTGACTGGATTTAAAGCAATATTCATTGTCTTATTCTCTGAGCCACAGCTTGAAGAATAATAGTGAAACTATTCGTCCCCTTCACTTCACCGGTAAGTCAAAAATATCTCCAGATTGAATCTATCTGGCCAGACGTAATCTGAAGCTGATCATCGCCTGTCGACAAACGCCATAGACGAGATTCGCTAAGCTCACCACCATAACCTTTTTTCTCAAACAAGGGTGACTTTAGACAGAAAGTCAACGAGAGGCCAGATTTGGGATCAGAGTGAAAGTTCGTGATTTTTTATGAAACAAAAAAAAATCGGGGCCAGAATTGTCACTCGACCTAAAGATGGTGCTTTTTTACAGGACAAAAAAACAATTTGGGTCAGAATTGTCCCTCGATCTAAAATTGATGCTTTTTTATGAGACAAAAAAAAAGTTTGGACCAAAATTGTCCATCGACCTAAAATTGGTGCTTTTTTTTGGAATTAGGCCCAAAATAAGAAGGACAAAAAGGAAATTGAGCACATCTTCACATGATAAGACCAGAATACTACCGTTAGTGAACGCACACTAAAGCCATCGGCCGAATTCAACTTCGGACATGACAAATTTTAAACTTGGGGCCGTGCACACTGATGTCGATCCGGCCATGCCTATGGGCCTCTATGTGGGTGTAATCCAAGGCTGCCGCCGCGTCGCACGATCGTCCTAGCTCGACAAGGACACCGGGCCCTAACCGGTGCATGGGCAACCCTCCCATTGCGGTCACTGCTGCCGCCGCCGCCCCCACCTCCTCTGCCTCTATTTTCCTCTCCCTCAATCTCTAAGGTTTGTGGTTTTTAATTAATTTTCTTTCTTTCTTTCTTCTGAATTTCATGCATTAATTTGTAATTTTAGGACGAGGATAACCTTTTGATTTGGGCAAAATTGTGCGCATGAGATTCACCTGCTATGATCGACCGATTTTTCATCCGCGATAAGCTCGAGGGGTTTGTTGAGACAAAGTTAGGAGTGTTATGGAACAAAATCCAATGAAAAGGAATTTTGAGAAATTGACATCACTTCAGAAGTATTTTTTAAATTATTTCCAAAATAGAATTGAAGTGTGCCATCTTAACTGATCGGAGAGACCTAGTCGTTACATATGACATAGCTGGTGGGAACATTGGAGGAGCACCCTTTTCTTTGCCATGGAAATCACTAGATCGAGTTCTCTATTTGAGGAGACGATCTATTGATGGAGAATGAGTTGAGAAGAGTAGATGGCGGCGGCGGCGGCGGCGGCGGCGACCAAAGTCATAATATTAATAAAAAAGAGTAAAAAGTAGAATAGTAATTTCGTTATGGATTAATGGTTGTATATAAGAGAGAGATGGTATAATTATTAAGACAACAATTCCCTTTTTTTTTTTTTGGCAGAAGACAAGAATTCATTTATGGGCAAAATTGCGCAATTTTCAACATAGATCATTAATATATAACAGCTACTAATTTGTACTCCAATGAGAAATTTAAAATTTATAAAAACATAAATATGTCTAGAGGAAATGAGAGTAGAAGAAAAAAAAAAGGGAAGTCGAAAGTTGGAAATGACGAGATTAGTTGTAGTTAGTTATATTCCATGTATTTGATATTTGTTTTTTGAAATTTTAACATTTAGATTTTTATATAGGTATAGCTTTTTCAAGGGCTAATTCCCAAAAATACTCCAAATTATAGGTCTAATTCCAATTCGTCCCCAAAATTTTTTTGTCTAAAAAAAAATCCCTAATTGCTACTCTAGTCCCAAATCTGCCCATGCGTCCGATAATCGCCATTGATTCCGTCAAGATTATCAACGTAAGAATATATATGGCCTTTTACAGGTCTTGATGAAGACGCGAGCTCTGATAATATTGAACTTCTAACTAGCTCTAATGTTGATAATCTTGAAAAAGTAATGGCTATATTTGGATGAGTGGGTAGATTGGGATTAGAATGAAAGTTGAGAATTTTTTTTTTAGATAAAGAAAAGTTCGGAGCAAAATTAAGATTGGATCTAAAGTGGGGGGGTTTTTTTAGGGAATTAGGCTCATTTTTTAATGTTGAGATGAAAGGGGTATTCCGAAAAAGAAAAGATAGAAATACCCATTTCCATTCTATAGGGAAAATTACCAAAGAAGTCATGAATTTATTAAACATTTTTTTTGCCAGTTGAGTCTTAAATTTTTTGCATTTTTTGCCAATTCAGTTCATTCGGATAATTTTAGCCAGAAATCCCTTATGTGGACTCCGATCGTCCTACGTGTCACGACCAACGCTAACATGTACATTTTCAATAATATTTTAATATAATTTTATTATTTTTTCTTTTTTTCTTTTCTTTCCTTTCCTTTTTTTCCCAACTCCCAACTGTGGGCTAGGATGCCCTCGCCCGTGGCCCTTGCCGGCCCACAATTGGGAGTTTGGAAAAAAAACAAAAAGGACAAAAAAGAAAATAAAGGAAAAATAAATAAATAAATTCAAAAAATATTAAAATATTATTAAAAGATATATCCACATCAGCGCCCGCTATGCCACATAAGATAGCCGGCGTCTACGTTAGCGATTTTCGGCTAAAGTTGGCTGGATAGACTTAATTGGTCAAACGTGAAAATGTTTATGACTCAATTAGCAAAAAAAAATAAGAAAGGTTTATGACCGAATTGACACAATTACAATGGGTTTATAACTATTTTGATAATTCTCCCCCATTCTTTACTGTAGATTAAGATAGGGATAATAATGACACAAATAGTCCCTGAACTTTAACTTAATGTGTAATTTGGTCCCTGAACTTTTAATTTGTTCAATGTAGTCCCTGAACTTTAACATAATGTTCAATTTGGTCCCTGAACTTTTGAATTGTTCAATGTGGTCCCTGAACTTTTTATATATGTTCAATTTAGTCCCTGAACTATATAAAAATGTTCAATATAGTCCCTGCACTTGAATTAATGGAAGGACTATATTGAACATTTTCAAATAGTTCAAGGACTAAATTGAACACATATTAAAAGTTCAAGGATCACATTGAACAAATCAAAAGTTCAGGGACCAAATTGAACATTATGTTAAAGTTCAGGGACTACATTGAACAAATTAAAAGTTCAAGGACCAAATTGCACATTGGGTCAAAGTTCAGGAACTATTTGTGTCATTTTCCCATTAAGATATGTTGAATCATTATCCGGTCTTAAAAAAACATGTTTTTTTAAGACAAATATCGATTATTTAGGTTATAATTCTTGTTCGTGTTTTATATTAATTTTGTAGGTTTTTTTTTTCTCTTATCTTTTTTTTTTATTTTAATATATTTATTTTCTTTTTTCCATTTTCTTTTTTTTTCATGACTTTTCATTTTATCGTATGACGTTTCCGACTTCCCTCGCTCCATTTCAGCTCCCCCCCCCCCTTAGGGCACACTTCTTCGTTCCACCCCTCTCACTGTCTCTCTCCCCTTCGCTCCCTCCCTCGCGAAATCTCTCCTCCTCCTCCTCCCCCCCCTCCCCCTCCTCCGCCTGCATCGGCAAATCGACGGTGGCGGGAGACGACGGTGCCGCCGACGCCATCTGCCCCTCCTCCTCCTCCTCCGCCGCAGCAGCAACGAGTCCCGGAGAACGGTGAGCGCTCCCCCCTCTCGCTCCCTCTCTCTCTCTCTCGCGATTCTCGCACTGTTGTTCTCCGTTGCCTCCCCCTCCCCCCGCCTGCGATTGGGAGTGGGTCTGATTCTTCGCTCGATCGACCGGAGCCGTTGGTCGTCGATCGCGTTCGCGTTTCACCGTTCCTTCGATTTTCTTCCCTGTTGTAGCTCGTTTCGTGTCGTTTCCGGTGGTGCTAGGGTTTGCTCGAATGGGAGATTTTGCCAGATTTTGACCGCCGGGGGAGATATTTCTTAGTGTCGATTGACTGCTGTTATTGCTTGAAGGGGAAAGAAAGAAGGTCCTCCGGACGATTTACTCAGTGTCGTCGGGTAGGGTGGCTGTCTTGAGGACCGACGAGTGTAATCGCCGAGCAGCCTGGTTTGGCGTTGATTTCTGGGGATTGTTTGCTCTTCGATAAGTAGGATTATTATGTTGACGGAGTAGAAGGCGTGTTTATCTGAATATGCTGGAGGAATGTATGGAAGACAATGCGGGGAGAAGCGGACCGACTGAAGATAATTAACAAGTTCGGGCTTGTTTTTTGTTTGAAAATTATGTTGGAGCAGTAGCCGACTTACTATTCCATGGACAAATATCGTCGGTAGTATTTTTGCTCGCCGAAGTTGTGGCCTCGCGGTTGAATTTTTATGTGCCTGCGATCTTAATCTTTCGTTCAATTAAACCATGCGAAGGGATGTAGATAAGTTGAGGTGCCACTTTAACTATAGCCTTGACTTCTTGATCTGTTCCATAATGTAGCAAAGCAGTGGCTGCCTGTCTGCCCGTGGATCTACAAATCGCTCATCTAGTGATTGAAAATGTGCTAGATCTGACTTGGGCTATGCCCGCCACTTGCGTCACATCAGGTTGGACGGTTACGCCCATTAGATTACACTTAATGAGCTATTGCCAAATGTGTCTTAATTTTGTGGGGGATATTTTGGACTTTGTAAAGAAGAGACAAAATTTACATCTAAACTCTCCTTTAAAAGATAGTATAGATGTAGATAGTTGTAGATTTGTATCTGTTTATGCTTTTTTAATTGCCATAAAATTGTTGACGTCATGACTATTTATTTATTACTGTAAAAGGCAGTTTGCATTAGCCTCAATACTGTTTCTTATTTGAGAAGGATTAACATGGGAAATAAAAAGGGAGAGTAGATCGGAATTTATGACGAATAATTTCTTTGCATGCGACACAAAAAATCCTTTGAAATACAGTGCCATGAGCCTGCTGACGTTATGGATAAATTGGCTCTAGATGTTTCAATCTCTAGACACTTGGATAAACCTGGACTCTCTTCTGCCACGAGTTTATTTTCATGTTTGATAAGGAAAATATCAGCTCGACTAAGAATTTTCTTCCTATACGTCCTGTGTTGTATGTCCGATTACTATGAAAAATAAGAAACTTTTATTGCTTTGTGTTGATTTGTATTTCATTTGCTTCTTATCAGGCTGGTGTTAAGTGTGGTGTTTGTAAATGGGCGATCATCGAAGTGGAAATGGTCAAAACGTTAATGGAAAGGCTGCAGCAGCTGGACCTGCGTATAAGATTCAGTTGGACAATTTTGCCAAGCGTTTGAAGACTCTTTATACTCACTGGAATGACCATAGGAATGACTTGTGGGGTTCTTCTGACGTTCTTGCAATAGCTGCGCCTCCTAATTCAGAGGACCTTCGGTATCTCAAATCTTCAGCTTTAAACATGTGGTTGATGGGTTATGAGTTCCCAGAGACTATAATGGTTTTCATGAAGAAGCAGATCCACTTTTTATGCAGCCAAAAGAAGGCGGATGTACTTAGACCTGTCGAAAAAACTGCCAAGGAAGCTGTGGGAGCCGAAGTTGTGATTCATGTGAAGGCGAGAAGTGATGATGGGACTGCGCTAATGGAGGCAATTTTCAGTGCCATCCACTCTCTTTCCAAGGCAGATGGTCAACAAGTACCTGTTGTCGGGTATATAGCAAGAGAGGTTCCTGAAGGTAAGCTTTTGGAGGCATGGGCTGAAAAGCTTAAGACTGCTGACTTTCAGCTTAGTGATGTGACCAATGGGTTGTCTGACTTGTTTGCTGTCAAGGACGACGCTGAGCTTTTAAATGTGAAAAAGGCAGCACATCTGACGGCTAACGTGTTGAAGAATTATGTGGTTCCGAAACTAGAGAATGTTATTGATGAGGAGAAGAAAGTGACTCATTCATCCTTGATGGATGAAACTGAGAAAGCCATATTGGATCCATCTAGAGCTAAGGTAAAGCTGAAGGTAGATAGCATTGATATTTGCTATCCTCCTATTTTCCAGAGTGGAGGAGAGTTTGATCTTAGGCCCAGTGCAGCCAGCAACGACGAATTGCTGTATTATGACTCTGCAAGCGTGATTATATGCGCAGTTGGGTCTCGTTATAACAGTTACTGCTCTAATTGCGCAAGGACATTCTTGATTGATGCCAATCCCCTGCAGAGTAAAGCATATGAAATGCTTCTAAAGGCCCATGAAGCAGCAATTAGCATGTTGAAGTCCGGGAACAAGCTCAATGCAGCCTATCAGGCAGCATTTTCAGTAGTTGAGAAGGATGCTCCTGAACTACTACCAAACTTGACGAAGTCAGCTGGGACAGGAATGGGTCTTGAATTTCGGGAGTCTGGGTTGAACATTAATGCCAAAAATGAGAGAATTGTCAAAGAAAACATGGTGTTTAATGTATCACTTGGTTTCCAGAATTTGCAGAACCAGACAAGCAACCCAAAGAATCAAAATTTCTCTATGCTGCTTGCTGATACAGTCATTGTTGGAAAAGAAAAATCAGATGTTGCCACTCATATGAGTTCTAAAGCTGTGAAGGACGTGGCTTACTCGTTCAATGAGGATGAGGAAGAAGAGGAAAGGCCAAAAGCCAAACCTGAGGCTAATGGTGTGGACGCATTCACATCCAAGACAACGCTCAGGTCAGACAACCAGGAATCAAAGGAGGAGCTAAGAAGGCAGCACCAGGCAGAATTGGCTCGTCAAAAAAATGAGGAAACTGCCCGGCGGCTTGCTGGTGGACGCTCTGGGGCTGGAGACAACAGAAATGCTGCCAAGACTTCAACGGACCTTGTTGCTTATAAGAGTGTGAATGATTTACCACCTCCTAGAGATTCCATGATTCAGGTTGACCAGAAGAATGAAGCTGTTCTTTTGCCTATATATGGGAGTATGGTCCCGTTCCACGTCGCAACCATAAGGACAGTCTCAAGCCAGCAGGACACCAATCGCAACTGCTACATTCGGATTATTTTTAATGTCCCTGGGACTCCGTTCAATCCTCATGACAGCAACACATCAAAGTTCCAGGGTGCTATTTATTTGAAGGAGGTAGCTTTCCGTTCCAAGGACTCCAGGCACATAAGCGAAGTCGTGCAGCAAATAAAAACTCTTAGACGACAAGTTATGGCTAGAGAGTCTGAGAGAGCTGAAAGGGCAACTTTAGTTACTCAAGAGAAACTCCAACTTGCAGGGAACAGAATGAAGCCTATAAAGTTGTCTGACCTTTGGATCCGTCCAGCTTTTGGCGGTCGTGGAAGAAAGATACCCGGTACACTTGAGGCTCATGTTAATGGTTTTCGGTATTCTACCACCAGGCAGGATGAGCGTGTAGACATCATGTTTGGGAATATTAAACATGCGTTTTTCCAGCCGGCAGAGAAGGAGATGATAACCCTTTTGCATTTTCACCTGCACAATCATATAATGGTTGGTAATCGGAAAACCAAGGATGTGCAGTTCTATGTTGAGGTGATGGATGTGGTTCAAACCTTAGGCGGTGGGAAGAGATCTGCCTATGACCCTGATGAGATTGAAGAGGAGCAACGGGAGAGAGATAGGAAGAACAAGATTAACATGGATTTCCAGAACTTTGTGAACCGGGTAAATGATCACTGGGGCCAGCCCCAGTTTGGTGGGCTGGACCTCGAATTCGATCAGCCTCTTAGAGAGCTTGGCTTTCATGGGGTTCCCTACAAGGCTTCAGCTTTCATTGTTCCAACTTCAACCTGCCTGGTGGAACTAATAGAGACTCCTTTCCTTGTGGTGACACTGAGCGAGATTGAGATTGTGAACTTGGAGAGAGTTGGTCTTGGACAGAAGAACTTTGACATGACTATAGTTTTCAAGGACTTCAAGCGGGATGTACTTAGAATTGATTCCATCCCTTCTACATCTCTCGATGGAATCAAGGAATGGCTTGACACAACAGACATCAAGTACTATGAAAGCAGATTGAATCTGAACTGGCGACAGATATTGAAGACCATAACTGATGATCCACAGAGCTTCATAGATGATGGGGGCTGGGAGTTTTTGAATTTGGAAGTCAGTGACTCAGATAGTGAAAAGTCGGAGGAATCAGACCAAGGTTATGAACCATCTGATGTGCAGTCCGAATCCGATTCGGAAGAAGAAGCCTCTGATAGTGAGTCGTTGGTGGAGTCTGAGGAGGATGACGACCAAGATTCAGAAGAAGATTCAGAGGAAGAGAAGGGGAAGACATGGGAGGAGTTGGAGAGAGAAGCAAGCAATGCAGATAGAGAGAAAGGTGATGAATCTGACAGTGAGGAGGAGAGAAAGAGGAGGAAGATGAAGGCCTTTGGGAAGCGTAGAGCTGGTCCCAGCAGTGGCATGCCTAAGCGAGCAAAGATGCGGTAGACGTTATTGGAGCTTTTGCTTAGAATCTTGGTTTTAGCTTTTGCTCAGTCAAGCTCTTTTTGGTTCTCAGCTCGTCCTGTCTTCTGTAAAATGCAGTTTGACTAACATATTATGAATGGCTTAGGTTTGATCATCGAGATGCATTGTTAGTTTTTATTTGGGCTTCTGCATGCAGTTAAGCGTCTGTTATGAGCGCATGTGAATGATACTGCTTAGAAAAGTAAACTATCTTCAATGTCAATGATTAAGGAGAAATCTCTCTATTCTCTCGACTGTTTAATTATCTTTTAACTGATTGTGTGAATGCTGCTTTTGCTTCCCACCCTTCCACCTATTTGTTGATTTGTGTCGTCCATGCTGATGGGCATAGTTAGTGCATAGTGACATATTCGTTTTCAAGGACCCTCTCTTCAACGTTCTTTTGAAGAAGCATGTACGTATGTGGTGGCGGTGGAGCACGAGGTTGAACCGATATAAACTATACAGCCAAGCAGGTCAATTTGTGAGTGATCGGAGCGGTTAATGAGGTCTTCTTTGAGAGAACTTGGAGGAGTCGGACAACCTTTACTCGATTGTTGATGATCGCCGTTTCAAATTGCAAATTGAAATTGCCGCCTTGTGCTGGTGGTGGATGGCAGCTTTTGTACTTGAAATTAGTCGAGAGCTCAGTTTTGGCGTGCTTGGTATAATGGAATAATGGAGACCGTCAAAGAGAGTGGCCGCCATTGCGCGCCTGATCGTGGCGTGTTATGATAGCATGGTTCTATAGGGAATACAGACTTCTGGAATTGAAGCAATAGTAACTCCTAATTGACTCATGTCCATGATACAAGTCCTTTATTTTTTCAAAAAAAATAGCTTATGTTTAATCGACTTCGTGAGTTTTCTTTTCTTGCACATTGTAAATACATTAGAAACCTTACCGTGCTTAAGTGAACTTTTTTACACGTTTACAGTAGGAATGGGATCGATCAGCCCAGCTACTGGATGTTTTGTAAAGATGGGGTTACTTAAGGTATGACTTCTTAGATTCACGTTTGAGCAGAGTTGAGGGATGGTTGAGAGAATTCTCATGCTAACCTAACCAGATCTTAAGTTTCATAAGCCAAACTGATTTTTTCTCTCTTATTTTTTGCCCTTTCGGAACGATATCTATCTACACATTTTAGGTTCATCACAAGCACAAGTACTTCATCACTGTCTGATGAGATGTATGGCTTGTTAGCAGCATGAGTTGCTCGATTAGATAACGAGGGAGCGACGAGATTTAGAAAACCCACACGAGAGCCGAATGACTTTCACTGATGAATGTATACTATTGTACAGTGCCCACAAGAAAAGATGTAAAAGTGTACTGAATCCTTAGCTATACAATGACCCAACAGATGAAGTAGAAGAAGGTCTAGGACGACGAGGCAGAGCTGGCTCGTGACACCCTGCGAGTCTTGAGAGTGATCGAGTCAATCACATCTTCAGGAGTCCCACACATCAACGCGTGCCTCTGCCAAAGCACCTTCCCTTTCCTCCCTAATTTGCTACCATCGTTACTTTTATCTTTCTGATGTTGATGATGATGAGCTCTGGCTCTAGAATAACCATCCCTTTCATGCTGACAGTATTCTATGAACTGATCCAATTGCCTGCATATAGCTTCTGTTTCATATGAGTCGAGCAGAGAATTCTCCTTCTTACGGATTCCTTGGCCATGTCCCTGAGTCTCAGTGGCGTCAGGCTCCGATTCGGCCATCTTCATGGCTTCCAGCTTGTAACAAGACAGTTTAGGACTAGGACTCGGACTTGATGCCGTCTCGCAATCTTCGCGGATAGGCTTCTGCTCCGACCTGGACCGATGCAAGTACCAGGCCCTTGCAGCTTCTTTGACTGCATCCATACCATCATCATCAATTTCTCTTGCTCTTCTACTGATCTCCATACGAATCGCAACGCTAATGGACAAGAGTGTTAGTTTTAGCTAGGAACGAAGGCGACGGCAAGTAATGGAAGATGTTGGAATGTGCTTCTACAATTTGATAAAGGCTTCGCAACTCTTCCTTTTTCTCATGAAAAGGTCATAGAATATTGCTCACACCTAATCGTGAATGTCCTTTCTGTTTTTGTTGTCTGCATTCAACCGATAGGCTGCTTCATTGGCGTTGGCCATGTAGGTATTCGTAAGCATTAGGTGAGATTTGGCGTTTTGGGACTATTCCCTTGTGCTGAAACTTCTCTCCTCCTGACGTGCACATTCGATTTAGATTAATCAATCCTGATCCGAATCGTCATTTTCATTGCAATATCTTGCACGGTCTTTGCCTTCTTCAGCCCACAGACTCGTTTAGAAAACGCGGATCCGAGCCCTTTGTTTGTTTGCTTTCTATTATTATAAGCCTCTCTTTTGTCAGTCCTTCTGATTAAGAAACAATATTGCAATTTGCTGATACAGCTTGTTGCAAACCACTACACGTCGGACGACCGACATGGGGTTACATCAAATTTTACGTAGTCCAACACGGACAGAATAGAGAAGCACATTGATCCATGTTGCGTATGTTCCATGTCCTGTCGATTGCATTCCTTGTGTGCTGTTGCGAGCTTTCTGGGCATTGTTGTGGTATGCACTCGAGGTAAATTGTTAGGACACACAGGAGAAATGCTGTCCATGACTACAAAGCTACCTCAAAGTCTGTTCAGGTAGGGTTCTACCTAGATCAGGAATTAGCAAAAGACGAGTCATGCGTTGCGGACCATAAAGATCTCATGCTTTTTTAGCATCTCCAGACACATTTCTTTCTTATTAAACCTTTCGATATACATCTACTTCCGCAAGCCGTGGATTCTTTCTTACTAAACCTTTCGATATACATCTGCTTCCGCAAGCCATGACAATCCATGTGACCGCATCGATATAGCAATAAAAACAAGCACCATCTCCATTCCCGACTGCACGTTACTAACCGGGATCAAACATCTCGAATAGAAGAATCCAGACCCCGACTGAAGTAATGCTTGCAGAGAAGGAATTTTCCCTTTTATTGTAAATGAAGCGGACGTGCTTTAAGCATAACGCTTTCTTCATTTTGTATTAGTTGATTACGTAGCCCGCAATGAAGCACGACATTGTCTTCTGCAATTTACGTTTGTTAATTGCGGATGTCTCTGACTTTGCATGTAACTTCGTCATGTAGGGTTTTCATCCAATGGTGAAGTTGCCTCCGCACAAATCCATTGGAAATGACAAGGGCGACTAACGCTCTTCTAGTTTGTGGGTACTTTTTGAAATTCAGAGATCTTTGTTGTTGCACGCACACGCACTAAGAGAAGATAACATGAATTTTGAAAGAAGTTGAGCTAACAGGAAGCCAGGCTGGCTGTACTTCCGGGCTTTAAATGGCATGAACATCAGAAAATACGCATCCAATGAAATCGAGTAAAATCGGAGAAACTTTGCCAAGAACATTAGTCACTTTCCAACAGTAAAATATCAGGCCCTGTCACCATTTATTTTTGATCAACTACAGCAGACTCAAATCAATACTGCAAGGAAGCAATATGCTGATCTTGCTGCATCGCCAATCAGCATATACTCTGAAGAAACCGGCAAATGTTGCAAGAAAATGAAGAGAGAGAAAAGCAAAGCTATTCTACTGGTAGAGACACCCGGCAATGAAGACGAAAGGAAATACTCCGAAGAGTCCTGTCGAAAGCAATATTTCCCTTGAACAAGATAGAAACACCGTGACCGTTCCCAAGCTGAGAGAAACTCTATGGTTTCCAGGTAATGGTGGTCTCTGCAATCATGGAAGTGACCACATATGGGTCCATGTTGGATGCAGGTCTCCTGTCCTCAAAGTAACCTTTTCCAGCTTTCTCAGTGTCTCTTCCAACTCTGATTGATGCGCCTCTATTTGCAACGCCCTGCCGAAAAACCCGGCATCAATCCACCAATCAATTAAGCATCTAAAGACAGCTAGCTTGCCAATCCGAATAGCGCTAAGAGAAACAATAACAATGCTAAATGTTTCAATATCAAGGCATTTGATTCTCCTTACCCATAGGAAGGTGTTGATGTCAGCTGTCTCGTGGCGCCCAGTGAGACGACGCTCGTTGCCTTCACCATATGCAGCAATGTGTTCCTTGTGCCTCAGTCGAAGCTTCTCTATTGCCTTTTTGATGACTTCATATCCACCGTCGCTCCTCATTGACTTGGTGCTGCAACCCAGCCATAAAATTCAGCAAAGATATGAGCGGTGAGTCTCCTCTGCTTGTGTGCAAGTGCAGAAACGTGTTAATTAGGAAAGCTTAGACAAGAATCGGTGATGTTCTGTTACCTGTAATTTGTGTGAGCACCTGCTCCATTCCAATCTCCCTGGTGATGATAAACGCCATGTGATGAACCTGAAGTACTCGTACATAAGCATGAACAACAATTAATATGAAGGGCAGTGGACTAACCTGAATAGGCTTGGGATCAAATGAAAGGACAACGCCAGCAATCTCCGTGATCCTCTGGTTACACCAACATGATTAAATAAGCAACCTTCCAATCAAATATTACTACGGCATGATAAGAAATAACGTAGGCTGTAGCATTACCTCCAAAATATAGCGGGCTACCCACAATTCATCTCCAGCTGAGATGCCCACGGAAGGACCGACTTGGAATTCCCACTACACAGGGATAAGATAAGAAAATGGTCGAGAATTGAATATATTATCTAGGAAATAAGAATTGATAATATGTAATGTGACTAATTTCCAGAAGGATATGTTTTCTAACCTGGCCCGGCATGACTTCCCCGTTGATGCCGCTGATGTTGATTCCAGCATACAAGCAGGCCTTGTAATGGGAGTCCACGATGTCTCTGCCAAAAGCCTTGTCTGCGCCAATACCACAGTAGTATGGTCCCTGTTGAACCATAATTATTTAGTATACAAGATCTGAAAGAACTGATGTCACATACAAAACATTGCAGACAAATCTGGTACATCATTATGCATCAATTGAGCAACTCCATGATCTGAATAAACTTGTAGGAAGAGTATAAGATGCGATGCACTTGCTCCCTTCTCGAATTTAAAGGGATGATGGTATATGGCAACAGAGACGGGGGTTTGAGCAACTGCGATGATATACCTGAGGACCAGGATAGCCACCAACAGGCCATCCAATTGGCCACTTGACATCTCGCTGCAAGAGGGTGTACTCTTGCTCAATCCCATACCTGTTTTCATGTATTAAATCCGTATGTCTGGCAAGTGAGCGAATAGGGAAAGAAATTAGAAATGAAAATGAGAAGGCCAGATGAATGAAATTACCAGGGCTCTTCAGCAACGACATCAGGATGGCTGAATATCTTGGCAGCCGCATGCCTCTTGTTTGTCGGGATTGGCTCTCCAGCTGGAGTATAGGCATCGCACATGACCTAAACCAACAATGTTTCGTTAATAACTATGCTGTAACATCAAATCTAAACTGATAAATGGAGAACCCATTCCACTAAATAGAAAAAGAACTCACCAGAATATTGTTGCCCCTCCTAAATGGATCCTTGAAAATTGCTTGGGGACTGTACATGTCATTGAATCAATACCAAGACAGGTAAGAAGCCATCGGTATTCAAGAAACACACAAGAGCTCTAAATAACCATCACTGATCTGACTAAATTTATAGCAAACAAGAGGAGACTTATGGCTTTAAACAAAAATCCATGTGGGGAAGTAGTACAAACACTTACTATAGGATCACTTCACTATCTTCCCCAGGGGCCTGATTAGTGCTCGAGCCGTCGTAGTTCCACTTGGGAAGCTTTGATGGATTGCTGACAGGGCCATTAAGAGTCTATGGATAAATTGAAAGAGGAGCCCACGTCAGGTTTCCAGAAATGAACATATTTACGAGCTACTGAACAACCGATTGCTCGATCATCTAAAGAGAGAGAAACTCACCCTCGCTTTGCTTCTGAGGTCCATGCCGGATCCCCCAATCCTTTTTCAAAATAGCCAAAAACATAAAGCATCATCAGATACAGAAAAAGACATGAGTTTGAAACTTAATGAACAAAACCTGAGGTAATTCTTTGTCAGAGTTCGAGCCTAAAACAAAAGCATCAAATTACTATCTTTCGGCACAAATCCGTTTAAAAGGGGAAAAAAGAGAGAGGTCACAGAGGAAACCCCATGAGCAGAGCAACCCCAAGGATTGCTCTGTTCTGGCGGCTAAAAGAACAAACAGTCAGCCTGCAAAGAAAACAGAGATCAAATCTGACTGTATCTGAAAGAACCACTCGGCTTAAACACATTAATTTATTGGTCTCACCAATCAAGGGCAACACCGAAGCAAAAAATGATTCTCCCTTTTCAAATCCAGTGGGAAAAAGGTCCAAAGAACACAAAACTAATGCATTTTAAGACACAAGAAGCCATATTCATGAACAAAAGGAGCTTAGAGTGCAAATATAACAAAACAACATGCCCAAGATCAGGAACTTCGAGAAGATGGAGAAATCAACCCGAACCAAATAGAACAAGAACACCCTTCTTTTGTCCGAGCGGATTTGCACGGAAAAACGAATGCAAATATCAGGAATCAAAAACTCGAATAACCATACTACAGCCCACAAGTACGCCGCGATCCACAAAAACACAGCACTCGAGTTCAAGAAACAGAGATCGCGATTCAAAAAAAAAAACCAGGACCAACGAGTACAGAAACGACCGAAACCCAACACGAGCAAAAGGGTAAGACACAGCGAAACGCCAAGATGGTATGCAGAGAAAACACGAAAGAGAAGACACGGTGCGGGCAAGTAGTGCAAAACAGAGGATCGGCGAGAAGCGAGGCGAGGGACAGACCATATGTACTCCGCGATCACCTTCTCGGTGGTGTCGGACAGGTTCAGGTTGACGAGATCTGAAAGCAGCGACATGATCACGGAAGACGAAGCAAAACGAAACGAAATCCCTCCCTCTCTCGCTCTCTCTCGGCCCTTCTTCCTCGTTCGATGTACACGATACAGAGGCGTGAACAGAGGCGAGCTCCGCTGCCCTTTTATGTATACAGTGCAGGCTGCTGAGTACGAGCTCGAACTAAGAAACTGGAAATCCGTACCTTTATTATTCTACTTTTATTTTTTATTTTTTGTTTTGTATTTCGGCCACAAATTTTTTTTTTGGATGATTCACTTAAAAAAAAAAGGAGAAGCCGTCGAGATTCGTGACGCGAGAGTACAGATTAATATTTTTTTTTTATTTGTCAAGTGTACTTATTATATTATATCTGTATTATGCGAAAAAAGCATATGGACCTAGAATTTCAATGCTCAAATATTTATTTATCCTAACATTTCATAAAATCGTCGTGTTTCCTGGTAAAAGATCGCGATTTCTTACCATCTTAATCGGCTTTTCTTTTTCAGGTGCGACGTCATGTACTATTCTTAAGTCGTAGCTTATGTATTTGTGGCCCCATCAACAATTCCTTTTTAAAATATATTCTAATGAGCTTATTTTTGAAAAAAAAAATAAGGGACGAGATCACTTAAAATAGGAGCATCTATTCCCGTAACGTAATAGATAGATAAAACAGATGGATACATTGACAATTAGATAAGATTCATCAGAATTATTGTTTAATATATAGAATGATTTTGCATCAAGGGTGATTTTTGGTAACCCAAATGAATTTCATAGAAGTCAACTATACTAAACTGTAATTTGCTACATTTAATTGCCTTTTGTGAATTTTCTATTGGAATAATATCGCGACGGATTTTGTGACAGCTTGATTATAAAAGTACGACGAGATGCAATAATTTGGGATATGTGCACTAGAAGTACTAAAGCATGTCAAGACAGTACAATTGAGTTCTAAAACTTACAAAAAATACAATCAAATCCTAAAACTTGTTAAATTAGTGCAACTGAGTCATTCCGTTAAAAGGTCAAGGGGTTAAGTGACTCTCTAAAGTTGTCCGTCCAACTTGGCTAACGAAAAATCCTAACCGGGCTTTTTACATATTTTGTCTTTCGTATGTGGCGACGACGTGGTTAAACACGAAACATAAAGCTAAAACGACGCCGTTTTGATCCAAACTTGATTTTAGATACAAATTTTATTTAATTTAAATTAAAAAAAAAGGAACGAAGCAACGATGGTAGCCCTTCTTGCCGCCGCCCCACCATCGTTGGGAAGGGCCAATGACCCTCACCTGATCTAGGAGAATTTAAGGCTTCGAGTGTTAGTCACCACTCATATGCCTTCGAGTGTCGTCTTTATCCATGTTACCACCGCCACTCTGAGGACCATTGGGACGCGGCCGAGCTTGAATGTAAGACTCCATTTATTTCGCGAAAATTAAGTAATTTGGAAAATAATGTCCAGAAAATAATTACTCGTATCGTTTGAAATAATTGGTTAATGAAAAAAATTTCATTATCAATAATAACTTATGTTTAAATATTTTCGTGGATGATGATAATATTTTTGTTATTCATTTTAATAAGCGATAAAAATGATCATTTTTTAAGAAATTTTTTTTAAATTATTTATTTTTCGCAAAATAAATGGAGCTTTAAGGCTTGTTTTTTTGTTTTGACTTATACAAGAATTGAGTTGGTGTTCGTTTATAGCCATTCACTTTTAAACTATTTATTATGCACATGGGCATTAAAGAGCGCATTTTTCAAAACGCATAAACATTTTGACAGAAAGTCATTTAAAGGAATTTGTAATATTTTTATAATTTTTTAAATAAATTAAAAAATAAGTTTATTTTGTTTCGATAATGTCAATAAATTGATTTTGACTTGTAAAAAAATCAGAAGCCTTATTATGGTCGAGATAAGTATGACTAACAAATTATTTTTTATTCTTCGAGAAAAATACCATTTTCCTATCATTTCTATCTTTATTTTTCTTTATTCCACGTGCATTAATACTTCAAGCGGTGAACTCGTGTTCAGTGGCTCAATTGAACCTCGTGAAAGAAATAAATTAGAGGTGGATGAGTTTTTGTAATTTCATAAAATTATTTCGATATAATCACAGTAGTCCCCCTTATTAAGTAGGGCTAAGATGCTCGCTTTTAGATTTAATAAACAGATTGCGTCAATCAAAACTAAATGCGATTGAGTTTTTATGATATTGTAAAACTACGAAAGGAAATCCCACTAACGAGAATTGCATACCCGCAGTTCCCTAAGGGTTTGGAGAAAACTCTCGGATCTAAATTAGAATCACCTAGTACACCGAACCCTTTATTAGGTATCAAGCTTTTTGGAGTGATTTCGACCTTAAGACAGATACTTTGCAGTTTTCAACATTATTCATTTAAATTCTGGTAAATTTGTGTCGAACCGATAATAGTTGTTACGACTCGCGAAATATAATCTTGATATGAAATCTTCCAGACCTTAGTGAAAAATATATGGAAATTCAAGTAGTGTTTGCGGGCGAGAGGATGATGGTCTTATCCAAATGTTTAATCAAGTCGGCACTCTTCCTCACAATTCTCTTGCTTGCAGCCTCCTTCTGTTTAAAGGGAAATTCCCTTTTTCCCTAATTGAGGAAAAAAAATTAGGTAAATATTTGACTAACGTCGAGAGAAATTTCCAATTTATCCGAGAGCAATGTGACAAATCATAAATTCCAAAATAACCCCCCCAACCCCCCGAAAAGAAAATTGGATTATATTAGCCGTGATTATTTATGGAATAACGACATAAATGGTTCCCGAACTTTGCTTTAAGTGTAATGTGGTTCCTGAACTTTTAATTTGTTCAATGTGGTCCCAAACTTCATTACAATGTGCAATGTCATCCTTCAACTTTTAAATTACTCAACATAGTCTCTAAATTTTTGTTACATGTTCAATTTAGTTCCTAAATTTTATGAAAATATTTAATGTTGCCCTTCCATTAATTCAAGTTCATGGACAATATTGTACATTTTCATATAACTAATGGATCAAGTTAAATATGTATCAAAAGTTCAGGAACCACATTGAATAATTAAAAAATTCAGACATTACATATTTGGATAAAGTTTAGGGATCATATTGAATAAATTAAAAATTCAGAAACGATAATAATTTGCGTCAATTTTTCTATTATTTATTGATTGGAAAACGATAATGGTTTGGTTTTAAAAAAAAAAAAAGTGAGAGATAAGAGGAAAAGATTTCCAAAGAAAAAGTTGGCCTTCGCCGATGCAACCGACCGACCGGTCATGCAGAAAGCTGATCGTACGTACGGTGAAGGTCTGTTGTTAACCGGGGATTTTGTCGGTTGCGGGTTTCTCTCTTTTCTCCTTGTTTGTTTTCTTTTTCCCCCAGCTCTGCATCGCATCCATCGCCACAAGTTCGTCGGCATCGATTCTGATCAAGAGCGAGTTCGCGTCACTCTGTCTCTCTCTCGTCGGCCATTGGTTTGGTCCCGAGTTACTGCATCGAAACTCCCAATCAGAACAGTCGATGGGGGAGTGTACCCAATCGATAAGATTTCCTTCTGCAACTTCTGATGAAACCAAGAACACATTGCTGCTCTCTTTGATGCCCCATCTCTCTCTCTCTCTCCATGGATGGAAAGATTTGACGGTTTGAGAGAGAGAGAATTCGGACGTATATAATATTCTATTTTTTTATTTTCGAAAACAGATTTGGAACAGAAATCAGTTTCTTAACGCAATTTCATTTTTCAATTTCTAGAATAAATTTTGATAATAAATAGGTTTGGAACAGAAATAAAAACTAGAAATTTTCTACTTTGAAAGATAAAAACTCTTTTTATTACTCGCAATCGCTACCTGTCGGCCACCCCTCGCCGGCCACCGTCCTCCGCCTCTGCCTGACACTAGCCGCCTCCCGTTGTCGACTGTTGACCGCCTCTCGCCGCCATCCACCCACCGTCCATCGCCGGTCGCCTCTTGCCGCCGCCCAACTCTAATCGCCTCCCGCCACCATCCGCTGTCGGTCGCCGTCTGCCTTCCTCCGCTACCGCCCACCACCTCCCATCGCCACTTGCCTCTTGCCTCCGCCGCCGCCCGAGAGGAAGAAATTTTGTTCTATTTCGGAAAAAGAAATTTTGTGTCGTTATCAAAGCGTATTTTGGCTCAGAAATTCGTTCAGGGAATAAAAATAGAAAAATTCAGAAATTGATTTCTGGAACAGAATGATTATCATTCGCTCCCTTGTAGGGCCAAATACCATAAGAAGTATGCTTGAGTTTGCGCTTATATGTCTGCTTAAATTGAGTTTGAGCTTGAGAAGTTGGGCAATCCTAGTTAACAGTTGGCTTTTAAAAAAATATATTGCATATGTATTTTTTTTAAAATATTTTAGTTTGAGAGTAACTCGGATCTGAAATGCGACTTATCTGCGCGTCGAGTCAAGCCCGGAATTGCAAAAGAAAAAATTATACAAGTTGTGCTCAAAGCGTGGGAGTTTATTTTATATGCAGTTAATGTAAGCGATAATGTAATTCTTTATGCAAAAAATTCTTAATTAAATAATCTTAAATTTTCATGATTTTTCATAATAAGAGGAATTGAGATGTACTCTTATCCATAGTAATAAACTTGAAAAGAACCATTGTTGAAGAAATAGAATAAATGAAGAAATTTGATTTCTCTCCCTTAACACACTTTTTCTTAAGGTATTTTATCTAATAGATGATAGAATTCAACTGTTCATTATCTTGGACGGAGAGAGGACCAGACTCTATTTATACAGGCTCTCAATAAGTGCCTTCATATATTAGTTCATTCAATAGGTGCCTTCATTAGTTCATTCAATATGTACTTTTCATTAAAGCACATTCTTTCTTAGTA